CTTGATCACTTTGGTATAATTATAACCTCATAACTATATAGATTAGTTTGGGTGTAACCAAATAACCTTTAGCTGAATAAAACTATTACATTCTGTCCCCTTGTCTGAGAGTGAAAAAAAAATTAAATTTATTTTTTAGAATTAGAATACAGTTAGTTTGACACTCATGTAAATTTACTCTTTACAGTTTGACGAAAGTATTTAAAATAATCCAAAAATGTCCCAGTTACCAAGCACATTCGTCAAGGGCGTACACGATGAAGAACTGTCCAAACGTATGGAGTACCGTATACTCGGTCGTACCGGACTGCAGGTGTCGAAAGTCTCATTAGGCACGGCGACTTTAAGCGATTTATATGGGTAAGTTTTTACATCAAAAGTTAAAAGTTGTCAAAAGCGCCGAAAACTCGAAATTCACCAACGCTAAATTAGACAAGTTTATATTTTGTCGAAGCTTTTTTGTTGACGAAGCTCTGTAGTTTCCTACTCAACAACAAAAGCAGGGTTACAATTGCATCAAGTTGTTATTCTTTGACATTCGAAAAACCTCATTTATTTGAACACTTGTACATATATTTATGGCGTCATCGCCGATTCGGACCGTTTTGACCACTGTAAAGTGACTTTAAGAAAAGCTCTCAGGGTTAGAAGCTAACGAAAGCCTCATAATCGAGAACATGTTTTCCATAGTTCAAGCAGTGTTTAATAAATCCGCATTTTTACCGTGATGACGTTATTAACTATGCCTGTTTAGTGAGCTTGTAGTTTTGATTGAACAAGTGGCATGAGGCACACGTTTCGCCAATATATGGTGCAGAACTCTTGTCATTATTCAAAAAATTACTGCTCTCGATTACAGATATTATTATTATTGTTTTGTTTCTATATTAATTTTATTTATCTATTTTATAAATTATATACAGAGTACTAGATTTGGACGATGCTATAGCAATGATACACAAAGCTATAAAGTCTGGCATTAATTACATTGATACTGCGCCGTATTATGGACAGGGTCGTGCCGAGGAAGTATTAGGTATGGCGTTGAAAACTGTGCCAAGAAAGGCGTACTATATAGCCACAAAAGTTGGACGCTATGAAAAGGATTTGGTAAACCGATTTGATTTCTCTGCCAAAAGGACTCGAGAAAGTGTTGAGAAAAGTTTAAAACTACTAGGTATCGAATATGTGGACATTATACAGGTGAGCCATAGTTATATGATTATGCTCTGTGATAATAATTATGTGGTTACCGAGGTACTTTGCAACGATTTTTCGCTATTTTGGTTTTTCAATTTCTTCAATTTAAAGAGCTGAAAATTATTCTTGGTAGTTATAAATTTTAGCACATACCATTTGCTGAAATATTCTGTATATGGTTTAAAAGAACTGAAATTGTGAGACCTTTTGACACACGAAGTAGTTTGCTATACGAGTACTCACGATAGATCTTAATGATGGGCGAACAATTATACAATTAACTAGATCTCTATTCTTTCCAGGTGCATGACATCGATTTTGACAAAGATCTCGATGTTGTTGTCAACGAATGTCTGCCTGAACTGGTAAAAATTGTTAAAGAAGGGAAAGCAAGGTTTATCGGTATCACCAGTTACAATCTTGAAGTGCTTAAGGAGTGCATAAAACGTGCTCCGTGCGTGGATGTAATAAACATTTTTCATATTTCTTTAAACTCTTTACATAATTTTAGACATTTTCAATTTTAGGTCGTACTCTCATATTCACGGCACACGCTGCTGGACGATACATTCAAGTGTTATGTGGACTTTTTCCAACAGCATAATATTGGCATTGTTTGCGCGTCCGCTCATGCATTAGGTCTATTGACCAATGG